TCGAGATGTTAAAGAATAACATAGATGTGTGTCGTAAAAGTTACAAAGGGAATCCAGTCGATTGAAAGTTACAAATTAGCTTTTTTATTAAGGAAACTAGGCAAAGAGCCAAGGTTAAAAAAGAAAAGGAGGCAAAATGAGATGTGTCAGAGGGAGCAATTTGTTCTTGCTTTTTCAAAACCCCGTAGGAGGAAAGAAAGACTGACATAGTCATTTGCGTAAAATGACATAGAATGTTACAGCACAGAAACAGGCCATTCAGCCCAACTAGTCCGTGCCAGCGTTGATACTCCACATAATCCTCTACTCCTCCTAATTCCCCCATCCTATACCCCTCTATTCCCTTCTCTCTCGTGTGTGCATCAAGTTTCCTCTTAAATACATTGCTGCTTTTTGTTTGACCCACAGCAATGAGTTCAACTTGTCAATAAGTGGAATAGCCTATTAATGCCTACATTAATATCCACCTTGTTTGGTTAATGAGAGATACTTTGGGAAAGAATGAGTCAATTTCAACCCAATGAGGAAGCAAGAGAGGACAAAGGTGCTTCTAGACCATATATTTGGAGGATAATTAATTTTACCAATATCACTGAAATAGATAATATTGTGACAAAGACCTTCCGCTGACCTTTTGTGACTTGAGTTACAACTGTTCAACTGCACACACTCACTCACTGGAGAGAGACCAAATTGTGAGGCATGATCTAGTACAAAGAAACAACACATTTGACGGATCGGATACTGATTCAGGATATGCCATTGAGGAGGCTGATAACATACTAGAATCACAATTGTCACACTAACAGCAGTTGGTATTAACACTAAAATAAAAATAGTAACCAAAGGAACATATAAGAGAGGCCTATTCCCTAATGAGCGTTGTCGGAAGCCCCTGAGTTGTAAATTAGGGTCATGATTATGGTAGTTTATTTTATACTGTAATGCCCAAGCCCAGCTAACGGAAAGGACTGTGGGCAGCAAGCAGCCTTCCGATCAAGCTAATTTAGGATAATGAGCACATTAGCTCAGACTGTTCTAATTAGGCTATGTAAAGAACTGCAGTGAAATGTGTAATGATCGGGGAACTCAAAGTTCCAGGAGGGAGTTGGATTGAGGTGAAAAACTACCAAGAGATCAACAGTGCAGAGGAAAGAACAGTTTGTGCACACAGAGAAAATGGAATGTGTTTGATTCAGCCTCGGATAGCAATAGTTTATTTAATTAACTGCGCCGTTCTAGAACACCAATATATATACGCACACAAACACACACGCGCGGGCCTTATGCTTTTACATGCCTTCACCAAACCTTTCTAACTGAAATCCATTTAGAATAGCACCGATGGGGTATCCGATTTGGAAAGCAATCAGATGTGTAGTGGGACCACAGACTGGGCTTTTTATGTAATGAGGTTTTCCGTTTGATTTCTCAATGGGCGTGTGATCAGATATTTTGATTCCCTGCTGGGTATGTGATCAGGGCTTCCTATTAGACTCCCCATTGGCCTTTGCCATCTGAAATTTCCCGAAAACTTCCCACTGGAAAATCAAACTGGATTTATATGCAAATGAGACTATCCATTCGATTTCACACTATGCTTTTGATCAGAAATTCCTATAAGATTCCCCACTGGACTTCTGACAGAAAACAAAACTTAATATGAAACAACTCTTGCTTTCCACAGCTTGTAGTAATGCTCTTTTTAGTTGAATTTAAAAAAAAGGGCTAGTTATGTAACTCTCTACTTGTACTTTAAATGGTGAGACATTCTACTTGGAATTCAAGTATTGAGAACTTTAGCAAAAGTTTCCATAGTTTTCTCAGGAATGTTGTTTTCTCACAAAGCAAGCGATGGATGATTTTACAGTATTAATAATGGTAATAATAATCTTTGCATTTGATATAGCGCCTTATCACGTCTTCGAGACCTCTCAAAGCGCTTCAGAGAATATACTGTAAAGTGTAGGGACTGTATATTTTGTGGGCGAAAGTAGTCAAGAGGAAAAGAGGTAAGGTTAAATAGACTGATCAGTTGAATAGTACTGTAATTTAATAAATAACCTGCTACATAATGAATTACATATTAATAATTGTATTTAGCAATAAAATTGGTTTCTATGTGTTAATTAGACAAGGTGCCTCTGTTTGTGTTAGGATTCTGTGCACAGTAGCTGTTTACAGCAGTAAATAAGTTTACATCAGCCTGTGCTAGGATAACACTGAGTCAAATCAGTTTACTGGCCTCTGCTCATGCACTGAAGAACTCCAACATCCCTCCGTGAATATCGTAGATTTTAGATGTAAATGGGGCAGAATAAATTTATAACATGGCATCATGCAGTAGGAAGGTTCACGTGAGCCCACGGTTCCAGTGCACACATCTTCACAATGTTACATATCAAAGAACAGCTGAATTTACTTCTCTTCACCATTCAAAACAAAATTACTTCTGCTTTTTGCTGTGGGTAATGGAGCGAAGTATCATGCAGTAGTAGGTAGGGAGAATAGTTGGGGCAACATTTTCAGATTGCAGCTCAAAAAATCCTGACACTTATCTCCACAGTACTTGGTGAATGTACTTATTGTCGCACAAATGATAACATATGTCTCAAATAACCTTAATATTGCTTGGAAAATCATGTGGTTCAACTGGGTGAATTTTCAAATTAATTTGCCCTTGACCAAAAAAAAAGGTAAGGAACATGCTGTGTTTACCAGTGCTAAATAAAAACATGATTTAATTTTGCAAAGGACTTAAATAAACGAGTCTGGTATAAAATGTAATAAGAACAATAATACAGTACATATTTATGTTAATTTCCCCAATAACTCAAAAAACGTAAAGCCCCATACCTCAAGCTATGTATTATATTATTACTGCTCTAAACATATTATCAATATTGTGAATTGACAACATGGGCCACTCCGCTTAAAACAATCCAAACCATAGATAAGACCCAAGCGAGAATACAGTATGCATTCTTTGACCAAATGCTTATTATTATGTTCAAATCAAGCGTAACCATGTTATTATCATACATTGCAATCAGAAATGTTAGAATAATTGATCAATAAATAAATTGGCAGATATGCCAAACATTTGAAAGACTGAAAAACTGTAACATGGGCCCAGATCAAATCTCACTCATCCACCAATTAAATGATTTGAGTCCTTTATTTAATACTTGTGCTTGTTATTTTGTTGATTATCTGGGAAAGTACTAGTCTTTAATGGGCTGATTGTTTTTTCTTCCTTTTGTGCTTTATTGTTTTATTATCTGATGCAAGAAATAACTACATAAATAAATTATGCTTGCATTTGATACAGCGTCTTTCACGTCAAGGGGACATTTCAAAGCACTTCACATGATTAACTGTAAAGTGTAGTGACTGTATAATCATGTAGGCGAACAGCCAATCTCATTTTGCATTAATCACAGTTTTGAAACTAGGCAGTATTCAATGTACCGCTGTTTAAATTAACCGCCCAATTTCCTCTCTGTGGCCCAGACACAAATTTAGAGCACAAATTCACATCTCACACTGCTAATGAAACTATTTAAACACGCAGATTAATTCTGGGTGCAGTTTGGCCACAATTATTACCAATAATATGGATTGCAGATTTTAGCAGCAATTAGAATTCTTTTTAATCTTTCGACCGAATAATAATATTAATCCTTAAATAATAATCCTTGTGTTTGGTACAGTGCCTTTGACGTCGGGAGGATGCCTCAAAAGCTTAACAAGATTTACTGTGAAGTGGAGCGACTGTGTATTTGCGGGAGAAAAATTACATATTTTTGTTAAAGTCTGTAAAATGACCTCTATCTTTGTCAGTTTAGAACTGCACCCATTCAGGGTCAACTGTTGAAAACTGCGGACGGAGTGAAACTGCCTCAGGTGTTTGTAATGTGTGATTAGTGTATGAATACAGCATACACCATTCCAATTACTTAACCCATAATTCAGTGCCATTCTAGACTCGAGATTTGAGTATCCAAAGGCACGTTGAAGGTGTTCTGTGCGTACCTTGCTCTCAAGAGAGGAAAAAGAATTCTCGAAGACCTCTCTACAACATGTCTGATTAATTCTGCAAAAGCGCAAATCTAAGTACGAGAATGCAAGGTGCTTGATTGGACATTCCTGCAATCTTTTCCCACAAAGTATACAGTAATGTCACTTTGCAGCATACACTATAAGGTCGTGACGATGTGATAAGGCACTTTATTAAATGCGAGTATTGTTATGTTATTATCTTTCTATCTATTAAGCTTTCGTAAGTGTGGTGTAGCAGATTTCTTTCTGTAGTTTAACTAATTGCAGGCCGATTCAATTTGTAGATTGGATGCAAGTTAAAAGCAGCGTCTTTTCACACCTTGCAGAGTGACACTTCATTCACCTAATGCTGCTATTTCACAATTCTTCTCAAATCCCAGCTAATTAACATGTGCAGTATTTTAAGTGGTTTTTTTTTTGCTTTTCTTGTGGAGTCATTGTTCTTTAATTTGGATTTTAATTGCACTGTAAGTAAAAAATATAAATTAATAGTATTAAATATGTGTGGACACGTATAGATGCTCATGGATTCATATTCAATAGCGAAGTTAACTAAACTCAAATCACATGAATATAAAATATCATAACCACATTTTTAAAAAATGCAAGATTTCAACCAAAATATAATTGTTTCATGGTATTATGGATATTGTTTGTTCTATTCTTAATGATGTTGTATATATTTTTCTTGCCATGTTGCATGTTTGGTGTTCCCATTTGTATTTCAATGAAATACATCTCAAAGATTTTAAGGAATTAAATTTATGTAGATTAAAGAAAGAAAAGATTAATCTGGAAGAGCAAATAAATACATTCTTATCTGCTGCATTTAGGGTTTATCATCTGCTGCACAGTGATTAATTCATCATTTTGAATATTAAATTGACATTTTCATGTTTTTTCATCCGACTTACCAATAATTTCTCTTCATCTTTCAGATCAGGCACAGATGTACATAGCAGAAGTCATAATATGTAGCTGACCCTGTGCTTCCCTGGGGAACAGTGGAGAGCCTATCACTCTGCACATTTACTTATTCAACACACAGTGAATCGACTCCATTGGAGTAGAATACACTGGTACAGTACATTTTGTTTTACTTGTTTTACATTTCCTTATAGCGAATAAGCCTCTGTTTACCTAACAGTAAGCAGGAAGCAGGAATCCGGGTGTTAGTCGATTGGTGGATTGCTTTTCCGGAATTTAAAGTGATAATAATTTGGTCACTTCAATCCTCGACTGTTTATGGGACACTGCTGTGTGCAACTGGCTGCCGCGATTCACCCACAAAATAATAATAATAATAATAATAATCCTTGCATTTGATATAGCACTTTTCACGTCTTCTAGATGTCTCAAAGCGCTTAAAAATATACAGTCAATTCACTTATATTCTGTGAAGCGCTTTGAGAGATCACGAAGACGTGATTAGGCGCGATATCAAATGCAAGGATTATTATTATTATATATCCCATTTGTCTTGTATGGACACCAAACCCCTGCATTTACGGATAGCCCACCCTGCATTTGTGGTATGTCCCACTGTTGGAGAAAATGAAATCATTCGTTGTATCTAAATAGGTCCAATGTAAATGAGTTTTGCTGAAGGCTAATTTTGTAGTCGTGCAACATTAACAGTGGCACATCCTGTGAAAGATAGAATGAGAGAGCATTATGCATGGCAGGAGCTTAAAATGTTACTGATCAAAGTTGGGCAATATAATAATTTTCCTGAGATACATCTTTTAATGTTCAAGGTACCTTCAATCTGCATTTACTTGAAAGGTTTGTGATATTCCCCCCCTTCTCCCCCCCCTCCCGTTCTTTGTACATCAATGTCAGACAGAGAAAAACAAATTGAAAATGCTTGAAATTATATCGGTAGAATTCAAATTGGTTTGTATGCTGTCCTGATCGATTCAGCCTGTTATCACCACATGTCAATCACTGAGTGAACTTCCACTTCAAGTTCAGTTTTTTTGAGGAAGCACTGAAGTGTCCCCAACATTGAAATACAAAATTTCGATATTTTCTGCTGTCACGCTTATTTTGTTTTATCTTTTTCGTATTCCCACTTTTCTGCTTGCCACATCAGAGAAAGTACTTTTAACGAGGATAATGGATACGATAATGGTATTGTCACAGATGTTGAGCCCAGATGTAAAAATGCACACACTGGGCTGTGCGAACAGGCAATTTGCTCGTTATCCAGGACAAGTTTCTGCATCGGATGAAAGAAACTTTTTAAGTTGCGGGCAGCACAATGGTAGATTATCCTATCGTTGCTGTAAGTGGTTATGTTGCTCATTTTTGATTACTGTGTATAACTTTCATGTTGAATACCATGCCTTACAGCAGAAAACTTCAAAACCACCAAAAATAATACCATGAGCCAAATGCATCTACGAGAGCCAACTCATCATATCTTATATGTCTACTGACTCGCTTTGTACAGCTCGAGATTGATTTTAATATTCAAACTTGTATCATGATAAATTATTGTGTTAAATCCCATATATTGATTGGTTTTTGGGTTCATATGAACTGTAGTAACTTTTGTTTTGACCCAGAGGTGATTTTAAGGCCGTTTCTTACTGTCCCCACAAGACAAGTTACTTCCTTTAAGTGACTTATTATACTCAGATCTTCAGCGAAAGATACTGAGCGGAGGCTTGAATCTTCCCCACAGGAAAAAACCCAGGTAAACAGATCCTCCCCTGCTGCTCTTGTGCACTTCTTAGTAGCTCATGTTACAGCAGTAACAACAGAGACATGGGCAGGGGGTCACCTTACACAACAGTGGGACATGGTGAAAGGAGGGAGATTAACCTAAAGATTAACTTGAACAAAGTGTTCCGCTTTCAGACACCTCTATCACCTTTTTATGTGTTGGGTTTCATGTCTTTTCAAGCAAGTAAAGCAATTCCATTTGAACAATCTTGGGGCCGCTGTGATGTGATGTGTGCTCCTGTGATGTGTGCTGCTGTTGTTAATTAGCTCAGCATCCGTCTTTGGAGATAGTTGAATTGTAATTCCTTTACTCACCCAGAAATAGTGCCACAACACCTTGAAACTGTTACTTTCTGTTCATCACAGCCAGTGTCACCTAGGGAAGAACACATTATTATATATATATATATAAAAGAGAGACTGTGTTATTTTCAGAAAGCTGAAAATAAGAATTCCATTCTGATCTTTGCATTTTGTTTGTGTTTTGCCACAATTCATGCAATAAATGTTTCAGCATTTAATGGGAATTCAGATTGTAGGTTGACTTTGAAGGCACTGCTGCTTTCGATCAATTAAGCTCTTTAATGTAATGTATATTACAGTATTTTTAATAATGTTGTACATAGACAGTATGCAAAATTGGCAACAAATACTATAGGTTTCATGTTATTTCTTAGTTTTAATGGAATGCCTCATTATTATCCAAACCTAAAATCCTTTAGCTAATACCATTTTATATTATTTCTTGGGTTATGTATCAGTGGTAACCTCACTAATTATCGTGCAAAGTTTAGCTGCATTAACAAACAGCAATATATTTATAATCTTTCTAGGGTCATGGGAGCTTTATAGCTGATTACTATGCAAAATTTCAGCTGTTTGAAACCTTGAGTCTCTCCTGCTGTGTTTGCACCGGCTTCAACTACATTGCACTGAGTTTCCTAACACATTAACTCTTCTTAGTTCAATAATAATAATAATAATAATCCTTGCATTTGATATAGCGCTTTTCACGTTGGGAGGACGTCCCAAAGCGCTTCACAGAACACACTGTAAAGTGAATTGACTGTATATTTGTGGGCGAACGCGGCAGCCAATTGCGCACAGCAATGTCCCACAAACAGTCATATGGATTGAAAATGACCAATTTATTATTGTTTTTGTTTTTTTGGAGGGATTATTATTAGGCTCTGTGTGGAGTAAGGAAACTTGCCCAAGGTTTCGCCCTCTGCCTGGAATTGAACTCAGGTCTCTCACTTGCAAAGCGAGTGCTCTAACCACTGAGCCACAGGACTTCAAAAGGGAGAGGCAGATCTGTCTGTCCTATTATCCATTTGACAAAGCAGGTTGTGTATCAAAACCAACTCTCTGCAGTCTATTGGTTAGTTGGCGCCTAGGCTGGTCCTGGACAAGTTGTGTTGCAACGCTTTGGTGTAAAGCAGGCTGCACAATAATATCTCCATTTTCAGGATCTTGATTGTTTGTGGGACGCTGCTGTGCACAATTGGCTGTTGCGTTTTGCCCACAGAATACACACTCAATCCACTTTAAAGTATATTCTGTGAAGTGCTTTGGGATGTCTCAACGACCTGATTAGGCACTATATCGAATGCGAGGATTATTATTATCGATTGGTTGTGCTGCCCCTTACGTTCTTCGATCTCTGTGTGGGATGAGTGAGGTATGAAATACTGATTTGCCCCCTTCCTCTTTTTCAGCTTGCTTCTCACACATGCTCTGAATTTTCTGAGCGAGCCCTGTGGAGGTTCCTAGCACGGAGATGTCTGCCTTTTTTTATCTTGTTTGGATTCTGTTGTAGCTCAGATGTCAGCTCTTCAGAACTTTCTATTTCCATTCCCTTTCACTGGGGATATCTTAGTCACAAGATCACAAGAAAAGGTATGGATTGAAAAGGCCCTTTGGCTTATCTGATCTCATCTTTCTATTCCTTTACTTGTTGAAGTTACCATGAGGGAATCTATTCCCAAAGAGATAGATGTTGCCTGAGATGCAGATACAGTAATTCATCTGTGAAGGTTTAAACAAACTGCAACTTCGAAAGACATTTAAAAAAGTTTACATGTAATAAATGAGTATGGACATCATAAACATAAACTGATATATCTGTAGTATATCTGCAATATTGTATTAATGCCATTATTATTATTATATTTCAAACTCTACAACATGGAAGCATGAATTCAAGCTCAGAAGAAGGAAGTTAATAAATATATGGAACAGGCTGCCCAGAAAGAGAATGGAGATGGACATCATTGCCAAATTCAAGTGAAAGTTGGATGTTTTTTTGCTAAAAGAAGCAATTGAGAGACGAGTATCAAATGGCTTACTTCAAAGTTTGGAAAAAGCCAGAAGGACCACAGTTGTATTTTCCAATCCTTTATATTCCAATGTTCCTCTGTGCAATACATGATTTTGATGTCTCTATATATTGAATGTCATTCGAACGAGTTTATTAGAAATGCAAGCAGTTACAATAGGATTTCATCCAGTCTATTTTCCCTCTTAATAAAGGGGGTGTTAATATATTGTACAAGCAGATTGTTGATGTTGATATTGTTGCATTTACTATCAGCAGAAACTAAGCTAGAATTGTTCGAAAGAAATGAGTCATCTATTTATTTGTACAATTTCACCCTGGTGTTGGAGTCGATACTGGCATTATGGATCAATAATGAGTATCTGCTCTTCATGAATATTTACTGCCCAAAGTGTCTTTTCCTGTGCAGGATGATTCTCCCATTACAGTTAACAGTAATGTGTAGGAATTTGCCACTTAGATTTACTAGGCCAGTTGTATTCAACAGTTTGGTTTGATTCTATCTTGGCATCAGAGTAAACTGCAGCGTAACTTCATCATTAATTAGACAAGTGTTGCTTGGGGGAGGTTGCTTCCCTTTGAACTGACTGCGCATGGTGAGAGCAATACAGGGCTCACAGACAGTACATCTCCAGGCTGCTGGATCACATCACTTTATGCATTGAAGACGCACGTATCTGTGGTATATCCACCCCATGAGCAGCAATGGTTAAAAGGGACATTCTGTGAAGTTATTTGAAGTCCAAATTGATCTGAGAGTTCAGCAGTCACCACCAAACTGATCCAATTGATGATATTTAGGCTTATCTACATTGGCTGTTTTAGATTGATCTTGACTTCAGATGAGCACTTTGCAAAGTGTAGCTTTTAGGTTTCTGGACATAAATGATAATAGTAATAATAATAATAATGATTGCAATTGTAGGAACATAATTGACGCATCAAGATTGCATTACCACTTTATTTGATTATGGCAGATCTTTTAATCCCATTTTCCTGCTTTTTCTCCAGTCTCTTGAATTTGTACGACATGTTGACATTGTAATCTAGATTTGTTTAGATTTGGGATCTGAAAAATGGGGCTCCACATGCTAATTGGAATTTGAATATAATCATTTGAACCTGCTTACCGACCGGCATTTAATTTGCCTTCATTTTGTACTTCATCGAAGAAGAATAAAGGGTTTGACATCAATTTTACCATTAAAATAATTAGAATTGATTATGAAATTATGAGTGTGTGTTAGCTCATAAAAAGCATAGCCATGCAAAGCAATCACACATATCTATGGAGAAGAAAGGAAATATCTCAATCCCATTTAAATTGTTGATTGGTGAAATTAAACCGATTAAAAATGTTGTGGATCTGACTTTGTCCTGTTTAGTAGTTTTGGTGTAGGTACATAGCGAGACTATCAAGTGTTTTAAAAACTTCTGTTGTCGAGTAACATCATGCTGATAATTTTATGCCGCATTATAGGAATCTGGTTTGCAAAGTACTCCCAGCATGTGATTGCAGAGCCACTATATTACAGGCTATCTGGCATGTCTGATAGGCTTCAGGGATGTGCACTCCTCAGATAATTGTAACCAGATTAAATAACAGTGTGAAAATGTTTGATTAATGCAATCTATCTATATGCATCAAGATGAGCAATGAGGCAGTGGAACCTTGCATTGGTGAACTATCCATAGCCTTTGTAGTTCAACATAACATCAGAAGAAAAATACCCATCTGCTCCTGATAAGGAAAACCATTTCACTTTTTAGTAAAATGTTAACGTTCCCCCTTTTAACAGTGGTTCAGGTTTGGCAGGATGAAATGATAATTTCAATTACTCCCTTTATTCCCTCTCTAAGATAAATTTCCATTTTAATAAACTTCTAATAAACTTTCATCTAATGCTTAACCAAGGGCTGGTTCCCAGTCCATCTAAATTCATGGTCCTTGAACAGGATTATTGTACTTTATTAATTTTGTTGTTTCAATTTTGACTGAATTGTTGCAATTTATAATCGGTACAGTATTATGCTGAAAAAAATGTATAAGTAATACCCTTATCCTTTTCATCCCCGATAGTCTGAGATAGTGAAAGGCACTTTAATAAATGTGTGCAAGGTTAGGGTGTAGCTTATGCTCTCTATCGTACTGAATTCAAGCTGATTTTCAAAATATTTTGCTCATTCGAAATAATGAATGTTGTTGAGGGTTGACTTTATATTTTGCTGAAAGTGGTGATGTCATCCAATTTTCGAACAAACCAGACAAGGACCGTTTTCTGTAAACAGGAGATATTACACAAAGCTAACCTAGTTTTCACGTTGCATAAATTCATATGTAATCGTGCTTTCTACTTTTCAGTGCTACGACAACGACTGTGGCGATGACGGTTTATGGAGCGGGCAGCTAGCTGCACTCTGGAGTCGTATCCTTGGAATGGCATTCCATATTATCTGTGCACATTGGCTCAGAGTACTGAACATAAACGCCACACAGAACATATGCAGAACATACTTGTACAGTGCCCTTGTGTGCTGTGCTCTACATGGGCAGGAATGTGGGTATCTTCACATGTACATGTAAGTCGAGCAACTCCACTGGACAACAGTTGCTACAAGAGTTCAAACAAGAGGTTCAGATCACAAGACAGATGTGGATGAAGCTGTGCTCTTCACCAAGATCAGTTAATTTACCGACTTTGCAGAGCTTGTTTTAAGATGAGCATAACAACACACACATCACTAAAGTCTGTCTACAAGAAACAGTCACTACATTTGAAAGTTATTGCTTTTGGAGAGCTTCAAGATGTTTCGACATGATAAGACACTACATATATGCGGATGATGTTTCTTTCTTTATGTGAAAGATAGATTGACATGAAACTCCCAGTGCACAAACACAATGGAAAAACATCATACACAATTGCTGGTCTTCAAAGGTTATTATGTATATTTATGTCCTTATTGTTTTGCATAGCACAGAATAAACCATGGCGTGATGTGCATGGGAAGCTAGCCAAATATTCCATTATAGTAAGTGTACAGTGTAAATATGGGCCCATTCTTCTTATTTGTCATCAGTTGGCACAGTTTGGATCCACGGTTTATAAACTATTTTCGTTTTATTATTAAAATATATCAGTTGCCTCAACCTTATTTCATATTTATTTCATTTTTATCTGAGGTGTTTCTTGATAAATATATATATATTTTAAACTAATAATAATACTTGCATTTGATATAGCGCCTTTCAAGCCAAGAGGACATCACAAAGTGCTTCACAGGATTCAATGTAAGGTGTAGTTACTCTGTATTTTGTAGGTTAGCAACAACAACAACTTGCACTTATTTAGAGCCCTCCATGCAGGGTAGTGTCTCAGAGCTCTTGTAGCCAACATAGTAGTCAATTTCTGCACAGCAATGTCCCACAAGCGGCCATGAAGTGAATGACCAATTTTACAAGTACTGAGAATAGAGGCCAAATTTTCTTCTCTTCATCACTTTCAATAGCAGTCAACGATTACATGAAAACTGCAGTACTAGGAGCGAGGACATACTTGGGACAAAACCTCCAGTAGAAAAAAAACTACAGTCCAAAGTCTTCAGTGGCTGAGAAACTTATTTCAGCTCACAACAGCCTATCCCGATTCTCAAGGGCAACCAGTTCGTTCGTAACTTTTTCAAGCAGTGTATGCACTTTTACTATCGGTATTATCGAGATATTAAAGGTAGCTTTAAATGCCTTTTCTTGATGCAGTTTAATCACTCTTTTACCCACATCTGAGGAAGAAAGTTTTCAAATGCCTCATTAGCAGGTCTTCAAGTATACCCAACAGCAACTTATGAATGATGAATGCCACTTTACAATCCTTTCTAGAAAGTTATTTTGTGCATTTTTAGGTGTTATACTGTGATTATTGTTTCTAAACTCTAATTGGGTGGCTTATCTTCCCTGCCACCCTGCAGTTATGCCACTGATTGAACAGTGGGCAGCAGTTGAATGGCTTGTGTGAAGCTGAACTGGGTGAATAGTCTTTAATGACCAGCGGGTACCTACGTGTCTACAATGATTAAAGTGTGAGCGTTTGACAAATGAATTAATAAAAACACAAAGAAAGAAAAGGGAATAAATTGGAGCTAGAACCCTGAAAAAGGCAATCATGTGTTGTAAAATAGCCATTAGTAAACGGAAAAAAATGTTAAGTCTTCAATACTTCAGGGTATTATGTTGAATGGTTAGCTACCACATGAGGAAGTCAAGGATGCTGTGAATTTGAAATGGGATTGCCCAGTGCTTGCTTGGGGCAGCTTTTTTTCTGCCTTTTTAAAGACCTGAGGTTTAATAGCAGAAGTGAAAAACATTTTCTGATGGATCTCAGGGGTTTTAAGTAAATTGAATAGTGCGGTTTTAGCCCAGCTGTAGTAGGGTTCAGTGCCCAACTGAATAACAGATCTGAAATTGTGCTTGTGGAGTTCAATTCTCCGGGAAACAAAAACTTGACCCTACTTAGATATTTCTAAATTTGAAAATACACATCCTTTTATGAAAATGATTCCTTCTAAGTACATAATGGCAAATATTACTCTTGTTAGTTGCTCCACCATTTTATGTACCTTGACAAATATATTATATTATCATGCTTATGGTGGTTATTTGAATGATATTGTTTGATTATATATATATACATCTTTTATTAGAGTTTTCCATGCTAAGGAACGTGAGTAAAATATGCTACTATTCTGACCTGCAGAAAACAGCCTTTTCAGGATTTAAATGTTATATGTGTCTGAAGATCATTATTACTTGAAATGAATGCAACTCTGGAATTGTTTTAAATTAATGACTAATGCCACATAATTTGGTATTAATATCTGAGAAA